CTTGTGGAATTCTATGACAAGGTTTCGAGATGGCTGGATGGAGGGGATGCAGTGGATGTGGTTTACCTGGATTTCAGCAAGGCCTTTGACAAAGTGCCCCATGATATCCTGGTGGAGAAGCTGAGGAGTTTTGGGATACACCAAAGCACTCTCCGGTGGATTAGGGCATGGTTGACTGACCGAAAGCAGAGGGTTACCATTAGTGGGGAATCATCAGGATGGCGGCCAGTGACAAGCGGGTCCCCCAGGGCTCTGTCCTGGAGCCGATCCTGTTTACTCTTTTCATTAACAACATAGAAGAAGGGGTGAACAGTCTGCTGATCAAATTCGCAGATGACACTAAAACTGGAGCAGTGGCCACAACTGAGGAGCAGGTACTCCAGATCCAAAAGGACCTGGACAGGCTATGGAAGTGGGCAGGAGACAACAGGATGGCATTCAGTGTGGATAAGTACAAGGTCTTGCACCTGTGGCATAGGAATAGCTGTCATAAGTGCAGGTTAGGGGACAAGTGGCTGGAGAGCAGCACTTGTGAAAGGGACCTCCGGGTGCTGGTTGACTGCAGGCTGAACGTGAGCCAGCCGTGTGATGCGGTGGCCAAGAGGGCGAACGCCACCCTTGGTTGCATAGCCAGAAGTGTGGCTTCTAGATCAAGAGAGGTATTACTACCACTCTACACGACTCTAGTGTGCCCGCAACTGGAGTATTGTGTTCAGTTTTGGGCCCCTCATTACAGGAAGGATATAGCCAGGTTGGAGTCAGTGCAGCGAAGGGCCGCAAGGTTGGTGGCCGGTTTGCAGGGGAGGCCGTATGAGGCGAGACTGAGGGAATGGGGTCTCTTCTCTACGGAGACGCATAGCGATTTGCAGTCTCTTGCATTGGGAGCCCGCTTGTTCCCCAAGGCGGTTTACATAAATCTCTTGCGTGCAATTTTATTCTCACAACAACAGCCCTGTGAGGTAGGTTAGGCTGAATGCCAGGGAGTGGCCCAAAGTTCCCTGCGAGAGTCATGGCTGAGGGGCTTCTGGATCTGGATCTCCTGGGTCCTTGATCGGCACCTTCACCGCCAGACCGCGCTGCTCCCACGCCGGTCCCAGACTTGCTGCGAGCGACAGCTTGGCGTGAGCGATGGGAGCCGGACCTGGGGGACAGAGGTCCCATGAGGGCCAGCGAAGAAGCACCGCCTGGCCCAGCGTCCCCCGTCCCCCCTGTGCTGCTGGCCTGTCTGGGCCCTGCCGTGCCCGACGGTCTCAGCGCTGCTCTTCCCTGGCCGGAGTGGCTCCAGCGACCGGTGCTGGGCGGTTTCTGAAGTCTTTTCTCCGTCTTGAGGCAGAAGTAGCCCTTGTCCTCGGAGCTTTGTTCCTCCGTGTTCACAGTGTGTCTTCAAACCCTAATTACAGATCAATTAGCCTGTTTTTGAGCCCCGCGGAGGCAGCATCGGAGGCATAATGAAAAGAAAACGAGCTGGGCCGTGGGTGCCGTTTTATGTGGGGATAAAGAGCCCGTGAGCATGAATGGGTCTCTCGAGGCGTCTGAATAGCAGATTTCTCCCTTCTGTGGCAGCCCGGCTGTATGGGGTATTGGGAGACGGGATTATGGGAATATTCATGACCCGACCAGGCCGGATGAGGCGAGGCGAGGCGAGGCGAGGCTCGGAGCGGCTCATCTTTTGAGTCAACACTGAGTCAGGGCGGGGGGGGCGTCTTGCAGCTTGTTGCGGCTGCCGGGCTGGGAGCCCAGGCTTTGTGCCTGCTCCTCCGGTGCTCGGGCTGCTGCTTCACAGGTGTGGCAGGAATTGGGCACCCGCGTATTTCACTCTGCCCTGAAAGCCATCAAAGGGACGGCTGTTTGCGCAGAAGCCACCGGGGCAGCGCCTTGGCCCCGGGGTCGGCAGAGCAGCACGGGGTCGGCGGCCTGAAAGGCGTGAGCGACGTGGAGAGCGGGGCCGATCTGAAGGACATTCCGCTGGGCTGCTCGGCAAGGGGGGCGCAGCGGCCCCGGACAGGCAGCGCTTGAGGCGTCCCGTGCGGCTGGGGGCCGTGCGCCCCGAGGCTGCTGCGCAGGCACCACAATCTCCTGGCGTCTCCCCACGAAGGTCCAGTGACGGCAGAGGCCGTGCCGGGGCTCCCCATCCAGGGAGGCATGTTTCAGCTGGGAGGTGAAGCTCGCCGCTTAGAACGCAGCGTCCTGCTGGCTCTGAGGACGCTGGGCCCGTGCGTGTGTGCCGGGTGCCACCTCCTCCGGAGCCGGGAGGGCCCCGCAGTCCCCAGTCGGGGTGGCTCGCTCGCCCCACGCGGGCTTTTCCAGCCACGGCCGCTCGGCGGCAAGTGGGGGCTTGGGCAGGGCCCGCTCTGAGCGGTACGGGCCTTCGGCGGGCAGGGCAGCTGCTCCTCGGCCTCGCCATCGGTGGCCCTCGCCGTGCCCGGCTCGGTCTCCTGAGCCCCACCGTGTCTGAGCACCGAGTCCTCTGCAGTAACGCCGTGTTGACCAGAGCAGCCATGGGGGGAATCGCACGGTGGGCTGTGCAGGGGGCGCCATCACGGCAAGGGGACGCCGGGCGCGTCCTGCACGCCCTGCAGTGCGATGCCCAGGAAGGGCTGCCGGCCGTTGCAAGACCAGAGCGCAGATGTGGCACCCCCTTCCAGCCCGCCGGCACGGAGGCCTCGGCCACATCGGCGGGAGCCGTGGCCTGGACCCGGGCCGTCGCACACCAGGTTGCGCCTCGGGCTCGGCTGCGGCGCTGGCGCTGCGCATGGCAGCACGTCAGGAAGTGGTTTCTCGCACCCCTCTTTGGGCCACGCTTCATCTGCTTGCGGCCTCGGAGGACGTGGCACGCGTGGGGGGGGGAGCCCGCCTCTCGCCTTGTCACGGGCCTGGCACTGGGGCACAGCCGGGCAGAGCGGCATTGGTGCCTCAGGTCTCCTGTTCTGACAGCCGCTTCTAAATCTTCCCAGAAAAAGTTCGAGAGATCCAGGAAAAACTCGAAGTCTTCATCGAGGCCCTCCATCAAGAAGAGAAGTAGATGTTCCGTGCAGGTAAGGTGTGTCTGATGGCGAATTGGGCCGTCTGAGGCAGCCCTCTGGCCAGAAGCCCCCCTCACCTGGTCATGGGTTGACGCATTTTCACCCCCGGGGTGAAGAGACGTGCCTGGAAGTGGCCCTGGGGCATCCTCCAGTTGTCCCCCCTGCTCCCCCGAAGGCACTTGCCCTCCCTCTTTTTCACAACATTGCCAGCTCAGCCGTCCCCAGAGCCAGCCAGGCGCTTCTGCACCAGCTGAAGATCTGGGCCGGGGGCTGCTCTGAGCACGGGGCTGCTCTGAGCACGGCTGTGAGCTGCTTGCGGCTCCCCCCTCGGGGATCAGATGGTGGGGCGGGCGTGCTCTCGGCCTCCGCCCTGCCTCAGAAGGGAGTCGCTCCGCACAGGAAAGCACGGGGCATCGGCCAGGCCTCTCGCGAGCCTGGCGGGCATTTCCCTCCAGTGGTCGAAAGAGCCGCTTCCGCCAGCGCTGGCAGGGGACCAGGCCCGGCAGAGCCCGCGGGGGCTTCGCAGCGTGGAGGCATTGCTCTGCGTCCCGCTCCACTCCCGCCCCTGTGTCCTTTGGTGGTCCCGATCCTTGGAAGATCCTGGATTCTCCCGGCGGGTGTGGGCATCCCACAGGGCTCCTGGTGTAGGAGCAGCTGGGGGAGGGGGCGGCCCTGGCATTTATTTTATTTTATTTTATTTTATTTTATTTTATTTTATTTTATTTTATTTTATTTTATTTTATTTTTAGAAAATTTCTATGCCGCCCCATTCGCCGAAGCCTCGGGGCGGCTCACAAATATATCAATTAAAATATTATACAATAAAAATATAAAACAAGTTAACAATATAAAATAAGTCACCCTGGCCGAAGAATAAAATAAATAAATAGTATTAGCAGTTAAAATGACATTTGAATGAAAAGGTCTTTGCCTGGCGCCGAAAAACAAATAACGACGGCGCCAGGCGGACCTCTCTGGGGAGCACCTCGGGGCAGCGCACCCCTCTGGGCCCTGGCCTCCGTTGCGGGGAAGGCCGCCCCATGGCTTGCCACGCAGCCCCTTGGCAGCAGCTTCGGGGTTTTCGGGCCCTGCAGAAGGCGCACCATGGGCTGCGAGCGGCCCGCGTCCTTGCTGTGGAATCCTCTGCTTCTTCTCCCAGCAGACCTCCCCATCCAGACGAGGCCCCTTTCGGGAACACGCGCCACTGAAAATGGCCGAGCGGAACCCTTCCAGTCTTCTCCTTCTCCTTGTTTTGCTTCTTAAGAATGCCCTAAAGTGTGCCGAAGGCAACGCGGTAATTATACGGAGACTCAGTGATGAAGTGTGTTCTTTGGATGGTGCGAGAGAAACCGCCCCACCAGCAGGAGCCCGGCTGGATGGCCGTGTGGTGGCGAGCTGGACCGGCGTCCCGGTTGTGCCGTGTTCTTTCGGTTTGGCGTTCGTGCAGCCTCGGAGCGCAAGGAGGGGCTTCGCTGCCGGCCGGGCGGGTTCTCCGGCCTCCAGGCGTTTTAGCCAGCCGTGGGCTCTGCTGTGGGCCGCACTTGCAGGCCGTAAAATAACCTTTTAGCATTTGTACATATATTGGTCACATGTTCTGAGTCATGTTTGTTCGTATGTGTGATGCCGCACCTTGAGGTGTCCCCCAAGTGCTAAAATTTGCTTTTAAATCCTCTGCTGGGAAGTGAGACCTTGGAGCGTGACCGTGGGCCTGGCTGTGAAGCACACAAGGAAACCTGGCCCCCCGGGGGGGTGGGGGGGCTTCCAGGAAACGTCCTTACGGCCCTCACAGTGGCCCCGCGAGGGCCTGGGCCGGAGAGCTGCCCTGTCCGTCCGCTCGTTTCCGCAGCTGTGTCCAGCGGGGGAGGAAGGTGGGATCCTGGGCATTTTTAGGGTTGGGGGTCGCCAGCTCCCCAAGGCTCTCCATCGTTCTGATTCCACGCAGAGAGCAACCATGAGCAGAGGGGACCCTGGCCGGTAACAAAGGATTCCCCCGAGGCTTGGTTAGCCCCCTCTGCCAGAGCGGAGAGCCTTGTTCCCAGGGGGAGTTTCTGGGGGACCTCAAGAAAAGAGCCACTTGATGCTGCCGATCACCTGAGCGGGGGGGGGGGGGGGCCCCGGGGGGGGGTTCCCGGGGGGACCCCCCCCTGTGGGCCCCCCCCCGGGGCCCCCCCCCCCCCCGCAGCCGCAGGAGGTCGCTGGACTGCGACGGCTCCCCTGTGCCCCTCGTTCCACACCTGTGTTGCTGCGGCCTGACCCCGCAGCCCGTGGCAGTGGCTTCCCAGGGGCCCCGCCTCGGCGGAGCGCGCCCTGCTGAGGCGCCCGTCCCCACGCACTCCGCTCTGCCTCTAGTGTCTGCAGGCGCATTGGGGGGGGGGTCAGGGCAGCCCCTGCAGCAACCAGAAGTGTGGGCAGAAGCGCCTCTGTTGAGCTCCGGCACCCTCAGAGCACAAAAGGTTGGCGCTGGAGCGCCCTGGTCACCCTGCGCAGATCAGAGCGCATGGGGGAGCCCCGCTGGGGCCCCGAGGCCCCCCCCCCAGCCGCCCCGGCACTGCCAGCGGGGATCTCGGTAGAGGAGCCCGTCCTCTGGGCCAGTGCCGTGCCCTCCCGCCGCTTTTCTCGTCATCGGGTGCCCTCTGCACCACGAATCACAGCCGCCCAGCCTGAGAATCAGCATGAAGATGTCTCCCACGACTGTTATTTATTGGATGTATTTGTCGCTGAGGAGGAAAGAAATAAACGCCGGTCTTGAACACTTCCTGGCTTCTCTGCTCTGTCCCAGGGCGCAGGGGGCAGGCCGCTCCGCCCGCCCGCATCGAGGGGCAGTGGGGGGCTGGCCATTGCCCCAAGCGCAAAGGATCAGAAGGGGCAGCTGGAAAGGCAGCCCCCCACCCTTCGCCCCCCTCCTCACCCCATTGCAGCCGGGGCGCTTCAGTCGCCGCTGCCTCGGCCCCACTGGGGTGGGTGGGGGCGCATGGTTAAGGCAGGGGCCGCCGCCCCGCCCCCTGGGTGAGCAGCCAGCACAGGGCGGGAGCTCCATGGGCCCGGCTGGATCCTGCCTTGGGGGGCTGCGCTTGCAAAGAGTACGCGCTCCTGGACGGCCGGTGCGGTGCGGCACGGGAGCTGCACCGGAAACCGCTGGGCCTGCTCGCAGCCATCGCACCCAGGGCTCTGGAAGGGAGAGCGGCCGGCGCCCGTCTGCCCTCTAGCACCGAGGGCAGCAGGGATGCGGCCTGGGTGCGCAGGAGGTGCGGGCTGTCCGTGCCGGCACCGACGACTCCCCCTGCGCGCCCCCTCTGTTCTTCGGCTGAGCAGCCCCCCTCCCTCCCCTCCCCTCCCCTCCCCTCGAGAAAGGCGAAGCTGAGCTTCAGGAACGCTCTCCCGGGCGCTTCCCCAGAACACCAACCCGTCAGCTCCGCAATTAGTCAAGATGGATCACAGTGCTCAGGCGCCGAGTGCCGGCATTTCATGGCAATCGTCGAGTGCAAAGAGGATGGATTTTCCCTTTAATTAGCGAAAGCCGCTTACGGCGGAGAGATGGGCTGACTCCACTTTACCTGAAAGTGTATTAAAACAAAATTACCCTAATTACCACATGATTTGTTTGAACACAGAAATTATAGTGCATTACCCAGCAGTCCGTCCATCAATCCTTTCCATGAATGTCCATTCGACTTCCAGGACGAGCGATGGGAATCTTGTCTGAAAAGCCGGGGGTGGGGGAGGCGCAGCCCAGTTGCGGTGGAAAAGGGGCTGGCGGGAGACGTGGTCCTGCAGGTGCTCGGTGGTGGCAGCGCGATCCCGCCTGTGTTCTCCAGCGAGAGCATTCCCCCAGGGGCTCCGTGCCGTGAACGCAGGCCACGTGGGCACACGGCGAGGTGCGGGGGCTTGGCCAACCGTGGCTGCTCCCGCTCTTGGAATGCAGCCCGGGGATGAGAGGCCCGCGCGGGCCAATCTGCGCAGGCAAACATGGATGTGGAAGGGGAAACTAGCGTGCCCCCAAATCTGTGCAGGCAGCCGTGATCCCAAGGCCTTCGCGCCGGTGCGTGGCCAAGCAGACCGGGGCGCGACCACGCAGCTCTCGGCATCCGTCTGTCGCTGGCGTGCTGCCAAGTCGCCTCTGCCCGAGGGTGACGCGACGAACGAGAGCTCTCCCCCAGGCCCTGCCCCGCTCGGCCCTCGCACTCGCGGCCGTGGGTTCCCGCAGGCATCGCTGCGCCTCCCCCTCCTGCCCTCGGCAACCCCCGGCCAGGCGGGCTTCCCTGGGGGACTTGGCCGCCCACAACTGGCCGGAAGTGCAGCAGCTTCGGCTGTGCTGGCTTGGCCCTGGGGCAGCGGTGGCGAACCTATGGCGCACGTGGCACAGCAGGCACACGGCCGTCTCTGTGGGCACACGAGCGGAGTCGCCCCAGCAGCCGAGCATCAGATAACAGCGCACACAGGAGCCATGCGCATGCTCGGAGCAGCAGCGCCAGGCAATGCCGTCACGAGCTGCAACCTGTCCGGGTTTTCACATGGCCGGTCAGTGCACTGCCAAGGAGAGAGATTTGCTTGGCTGGCTGTGAGTTGTTTTTTCTAAACTAAACCCTCAGATTTCAGGTTTTATTGCAGTGCTGGCACTTTGCGATAAATAAGGGGGTTTGGGGTTGCAGTTTGGGCACTCGGTCTCTAAAATTTTAGCCGTCACTGGGTTAAGGTTAGAAAAAAGAGGTGTCCTGGCATGAATTTGATGGTTGGAATGTGTTTAGGATGGGCAGAAATGCTGAGCTGTGCAGAAAATCTACTCAAGGAAGGCTTTTTCAAAATCACCCTCTTTTCAATGGAATTTTAGCCCCATATTAGGGTTGGGGGAGTGGTGGTGAAGAAATGGCTCGCATGCCACAGTGGGCATGCAGGGCCCTCTCTGTCGACATGCAAGCCAATTCGCATCTCCCCAGCAGCCGAGCATCAGATAACAGCACAAATCGGGGCCATGCTCAGAAAGGAGCAGCAGCGCCAGGCGATGACGTCACAAGCTGCCACTCATTAGCCGCGACTCCTCCAGGCGTTTGCATGGTTGGTCAGTGCGCTGCCAAGGATGGATGGATGGACGGACGGACAGATGTTTGCTTGGACTGGCTGTGGTGTTTCTTCTGAACTAAACCCTCAGTTTTCCGGTTTTATTGCAGTGCTGGCACTTTGCGATAAATACGTGGGTTTGGGGTTGCAGTTTGGGCACTCGGCCTCTGAAAGGTTCGCCACCCCTGCCCCAGGGACAGCCCTGGCTTGGTTTGATCCAGGACGCCCGCATCGTGTGTCTGCTGGCTCAGGGTGTTGCAAAGCTCTCCCCCAGCGCAGCCATTCTCTTCCCGTCCACTCGCTGCCCTGTCCGGCGTTCACGCCCACACGTTCGTGACGGGGACTGCCATGGCGCGAGTCCCTTGCCCTCGCCCTCGAGCGGCATGCCCTTGCCCCTGGTGGTCCCTCTGTTTCCAAGGTTCTGTCTTCTGCTGATTTCTTGGCCACAGTCTCAATTTGAATTGGCAACTGACGTAAAACCCTTCCCAACTTCAGATTCGTCACAGCTGACCTTGCAGCGGTCATCCTGCAGTCCAGATTTTTGTTTTCTTAATGTTTAACGCCAGTCCTGCTTTTGCATTTGCTGCTTTCACTTTCCTCAGAAATTGTGTCAATTTGCTGCTGTTTTCTGTCACTAGGAAGGTACCATCTGCATGTCTTACATTATCGTGGGTTTTCTGTCAATGTTCACTTTTTTCTCTGATTCCAGTCCAGCTTTCCTTATACTACGTCCTGTGAACGAGTTGAATAGGAAGGCGGTTTTGTAAGCCTCCCCGAGGCTTTTTGCGAATGGGGCGGCATAGGAATGCTCTAAATAAACAGACAAACAAACGCGGCCTTGGCTGATGCCACTGCCTTTCTGCTCCTCTGGCCTCAGCGCAGCCCCTTGTCCAGGACCACGTTGCGCACCAGCACAATCGAGCGCTGTGGCCCCCGGTCCTTCCAGGGCCATCCATAACTTCTGGTCTGGAGAAGGAGTTAAGCATCTTCTGACATTCTTTGGTGTGCTCCGGTAGCCAACTATTTTTGCAGTGTGGCTCCGAGCCCCTCTTCCTTTTCGGCATTCAGCTGGAATGCCAGGCATCTCTTCCTCAGAGTATGGCATCCTCCGCGATGCAACGCCTCAGCCTCACTGCTTGCACGGGAGGCCACGATGCTTCTCTGGTCGTCGCGCTCGTTTGCATCTCCTGTCTTGGCGACTGGGAAGTATTCCGAACATTTCCAGTCAGTGGGCCATTGTTTTGTTTTCCTTATTGGTTGGCATAGTCTTGGTAGGATTTGGGAAGATTCATTTGCTGCAGCTTGGAATAATTCTCCTGGTATCCTGTCTACCCGAGGCCCGTCCGTCCTTCCCCCCTTCCTTCCAAGCACTTTCAGAGCAGCCTCCCTCCCATTTCTGCCGCTGCAGCCTCTTCCTCACAGGTTCTCTTTGAAGGACTCTGCCATCTTTTTAGGTCTTCTGTGTAGTCCTTCCGTACATTCTCCCCACCGCCTCTTTATTTTATCCTCTGCAGGTCCCTCTGCCGCTCTCCCCATGCCCTCTTCTTTTGGCTTGCTTCCTTGCAGGGTTTTCAAGGTAAGATGGCTGAGACGGGGTTTAGCTGGGCCGCCCTCTGCACAGCACCGAGCAGAGTCCGCTCGAGGCCTGCACCAGAGGTGCCGCTGTCGGCTCCCGCTGCTGCCCAGTGGCTGCCCTCCCGGAGCTTCTCAGCCCCCTCACCTTCAGAGGCGTCCCTTCTCCCGACGGAACCGCTGCTCCTGAAGAGGGTGGGTGCTCTTTGCTGTGAGGTTTCTTTATGCCATGCGTGCCGAGCCTGCCAAGCAAGGACTGCCACCAGATCCGTGATCCTGCCCCTTAAACCATCTGAGTCTGGTCCCCGAGGTCCAAAAGGGGGACGTGGTAGAAATCACGGCACACGCCTCTTTAATGCTCCCCTGCGCTAACCAGCAGCGGAGAGGCTCCACCTCCGGCAGGTGGGAGGACGAGAGCGGTGCCAGGTCTCTTCCCGGCAAGGGGCTCACGCTCGGCCTGCAGGAAATTTCCGACCGACACGCTGGAGAACCCTCCACGTGCAACCTGCTCGTAGGCGCTCTCTCGCTTCTGCGTCCCGCATGCTCCCACAGGCCTGGCCGGCCCATGCAAAAGAGCAGCACAAACGCCGCCTCCCAGGAGGCGTGTGAGAAGAGGCGCTGCCGGTGCCACCGAGAGCCAAGCTGGCCTGCGGGGTGAAGTGCCGGACTGAGCCTTGAGCGACCCGGGTTCTGGTCCCACTGGTTCTGTGGGCTCACTGGGCGGCTGTGGGTCACTCACTGGCCTCGCAGGGTGGACACGGCGATTCTCTTGAGCCCCGCCTGCCGTGGGCTCCTTGGAGCGAAGACGGTGGGCCCTCTTCCCACCGTCCCAAGGCCCGCGGGTGTTGCGCAGCCTCCGACCTCTGCCTGGAAGGGCCTGACTTGAAGCTCATGGCTGGAGCTTCAGCAGCTTTTCTCACCTTTCCTGAGGAAGAGCTCTGGAGAATTCGGAGGTTTGCACAGCATGCTGTGACCTCGGGAACGGCCCGAGGAAGGCATGGCCTGGATGGGCGTTTTGCTTTAAATCTTTACTTCTGACCAGCTTGATGCTCTTCCTGTGTCTGGCAGAGCAAAGGCGCCTGTGAGCCAGTCCGCGCCACAGTGGCTGCCTGCTGCAAGTGGTGGGGGGTCCCGGGGTGGGAAACCCCACACGAACCCAGAGGGCTGCTGGGCCGGGGCTTGTGTGGAAAGCGGCAGGGGCAGAGAGACGCCGAGTGCGGCCCACGGCGGGCTGGGGGTGCCCGCAGGCAGCTGCACTTGTCCCCTGGCCGAGAGGTGCCACGCAGCAGACGGGGAAGGGGCTCGGAGGAGGCGACGCGCAGTGCCCGAGCCCCTCGCCTGTCTGGCCGCTCTCCTGCCCCCTCGATGCGGAGACAGGGCGCCTTTTGCGGGCCTCTCCCTACAGGGGCGCCTTTCTGGCTCCTGTGAAAAGCAGCATCCTTCAGAATGCCGTGAGGGTGATGCCATTAGCATTTGCAAAGGCCCCGCTTTCTCGCCCTGCGGCCGACGTGGCGTGTCCCCCACCGTCCCCTGCTCTGCTCACTGTGTCTATTATGTGGCAGACACAAAGAGGCTGAAGGCAGGCCAAGGCCTGTCCAATTTTGTCGTGTAACAGCCGCCCCCGAAGCAGCATTCCCGCCCCTGCCCGCCTCTCCCCTGAATGGGCTGCCAGGGGGGTCCATGGCTGCCGCAGGCTGGTGGGCGGACGGCTCCTTTGTGGACCCCTCCCGGCTCTGCTTGTTTCCGGGCTTGTCGGAGGGTGGGGGACACCTCCGCACCTTTTGCTTCCAGTCGTCTTTTGCAGGTTGGGGAGTTAATGCAGCTTTGTCTGCACCCACCCAAGCGGAAGGAATCCGGGGTACAAGCCGTGACTCTCGCAGGTGGGGAGGGCCGGAAGCACAAGCTCCGAGCGCGAAGCAGGGGGCAGCCCGGCCGGAGGTCTAGCGGGAGGCCGCGTGCTGCGGGGCTCCCTGCAGAGGCTGTTGGCCAGCACATCGGGGCACCCAGGGGCCTGGGGCCAGGCGGCTGCCGCAGCCACCACACAGGCGATGGCTGGCCGTCATGAGGGCTCCAGATCACCCCGGAGCCGGAGGCGGCCTGCGCGTGTCCGCCAGCTGCGGCTGCGCCCCTTCTGGGTTGGCCCGACCACCAGCTGGCCCCCAGGGGAGCCCGGTGCTGAAACCAGCCGGCCCTGCGGGCTCTGCTCTGGCTCCCGGGCCGCTTCACGTTCACCGTTCCCCCTTCCTGAGTTCCAGCCAGGCCCCGCAGGGTCAACCTCCGCCTGGTTGGGGGCTTTCGGGGCCTGGCGGGGACGGGATCCCCTGCTAGGGAGCAGGAGCTCTGAGGGGACCTGCTGTAAGCCCCTTCCCCCAGCCCCCGCAGCAGTCCCGATTCGCCCCCAAAGAGCGGGGCCCAGCGGAGGTGGAGGGGCCGGCTGGAGCCCCAGCAGCCTCAGCCTCCACGCGGAGGGGCCGGTGCGCAGGCACGGAGGCTGCGGCTTGCCGAAGAGGGGCAGGGGCCGGCGGTGGGAGCTCACCCGTTGGGCAGGCCGTGCAGGAAGCCCTCCCCCCCGCCACGCTTTCCTGCGCTTTGGCGGGGAGCGCTCGCCTGGCCGGCCTCGCGGCCGCTCTCCCCCTCCAGGGCAGCTGCCCGGCCGGCCAGGAATCGAGCCCCCGCCGGCTCCTTCCGCGTCCCTCTGCGGGAGCCTCGCCCACCGCCTCCCGCGCTCCCGGCGTCGCCGCAGGACTCGCGCCGGCCCCTCGCTCCGCCAGGGCTCCGGCCCGCCCTCGCCGCGCCGCGGGGCAGCAGGCGGCCGCTGGCTGCGGACTCTCCCCGGAGAGCGCGCCCTCCTCTCGCGGGCCGAGCAGCCGCGCCGCGCCGCGCCGCGCCGCCCCGCCGGGGAAGATGGGCCGCGCGAGCCAGTGGCGGGCCGCTTCAGCCCCTGCCCCATCCAGGCCGGGGGCCGCCCGGGAGCGCCGGCCGGGGCCGGCCTGCGGGGTCCTCTCCCGGCGGGGGAGCGCCCGCTCCCCGCGCGGCCCTTGCCTGCCAGCCACGGGCGCCGGCAGCTGCCCGGGCGGGCGTAATGCGCGGTGGGGCTCCCGGGGGTCGGGGCGGGGAAGGCGGGGGCTCCGGGCCAGACTCGGCTGCCCTCCTGCACACGCGCCTTGCGCGCCCCCCCGCCCCCGCCGGGGCTCCAGAGCTGCTCCGCATGGCTGGGGGCACGTTGCAGGCGCCCATGGGGAAGCACCGGCTGCTCTCCGGGCGAGCCTGGGCCCTGGGCCTGAGTGGCAGGCCGGGGCCTGCCGGACAGTCGCTCGGCAGCCCTGCAGCGTCTTCTGTTCCCCTCTTCAAAGGCAGTTAATTGCAGAACAATCCGAGAAAGCCGCGGCGCTGGCTGGCCCAGAGGACCGGGCAACCACCGGCCCCATCCATCCTGGCGAAGCGAGGCCTGGAATGCGTCCAGGACGTGGCCGGCCCAGCACCCCGCACCTGACTGCCCCTCGGAGCCCGTGCCCCGGAAAAGAGCAAGAGGCCCCTTAGCCCGGCCAGCTTGCTCCCCCCGTCTGCCACAAAGGCCCGGGCGTGGGGCTCCTCGGGGGACTCCATTGCCAAGATATGAGGGGCCCAGCGTCCGGCCGGCACACAGCTGGCCCGGGCTGTTTGCCAGCGCAAGCGGGTGGAATCAACCTGTGCGTGTTTCGCACGCTCGTGCTGCCTGCCATGCCCCCTGGCCTTCGACCCCTGAGAGAGCGGGGATCGCGTGGGAAAAGCCCTGCCTGGCTCCAGGTCCATTCTGGAAAGCACTCCTTGGACTCCATCTGCAGCCCTCGTACCAGACGCTGGAAGCGCTTTATTTCTTTATTTAAAGTTTTTACATGCCGTCCCCTTGCTACGTAGCCTCGGGGCGGCTCACAGCAATAAATAAATAAAACAAATGCAATTACAAATTACAATTGCAATTAAAACTTGGAAACACACTGGCTACACAATTAAGCGTGGCTTTGCACCTGCCACACGCACGAAAAGGCTCCTCCGGAAGGGAACCCGCAAGTGGGGCCACCAGCAGCGCCTACGCGCAGCCAGGCCTCCTGCGGGTGCTCGGGAGCCTCCGTGGCCACTGCAGAAGTGCCGGAGGAAAGCAAGGGGGCCTGGCCGAGCTCTGCCTTCGTGGCAAGGTGGCCCTCACCCCACAGTGGGCGGCGGACCCCCTGCCCTGCCCTGCCCTGCCCTGCCCTGCCCTGGGCAGGTGCCGAGGCCGCAGCGCGGACGGAGCTGGAGGATTCGAGTCCGAGCAGAGGCGGGACCTGGCAGGGCAGCCGAGGCCGGCCTGAGGGGCGCCCCTGTGAGCGTGGGAGGGGGAGCCGTGGTCACTCGGAGTGCACTGGACTCCGAAGCCAGTGCGGCTGCATTCATGGGTAGGGGACGGGATGTGGAGCACCGGGGCGGGGGCTGAACCCCACTCTCAGTCGGGACGTGGCGTTGAGCAAGTCGGTTTCCCAGCACGGCCCCCACCAGGAGTGTGCTCGGGCCAGGCGGGGAAGCCCAGGCACACGGATCAAGCCTTTCCCGGGCTGGCGACCTGCAGAGGTGCCGGGCTGCAGCTTCCGTCAGCCCCACCAGGCCACCGGGCCTGGACGATGCTCAGAAATTCCGGGAGTCGGGGGACCATCCAGCAGACCCTTGGCTGGAGCCGGCTGGGCCCTGGGGCTGGGTGAGCGGCGAAGCGGGGCCTCCGCCGTGGGCTGCCTCCGGCCGTGTCTGCAGCTCCTTCTTGCCCTCCTGCCCCAAGGAATGGCCCGGCCACGCTGCTTTCCACTCTTTCTGGCCACTGAAGGCTACACGATGCTGAAACCAGGTCAGGACTGAGACATCGGGGGGGGGGGCGAGCCAGTGTGGTGTAGTGGTTAAGAGCTGGGACTGGGACTCAGAGGATCCGGGTTCGAGTCCCCGCTCAGCCATGGAGCCCACTGGATGACTCTGGGCCAGTCACAGACTCTCGGCCCAGCCTACCTCACGGGGTGGTTGTTGTGGGGATAAGATGGAGGAGGAGAATGATGTGAGCTGCCTTGAGCCCCTTGAGGAAAACAGGCAGGATATTAATTGAAAAATAAATAAAAATAAATAAGTCTGACCGCTCTGCAAAGGTGGACCAGGAGCCCTTGAAGAAGCGGCTCTGTTTCTCCCCTGGAAAGGCACGGCCTGCGCGGCTGCGCACACGGTGCGCTTTGGAGCGGCAGCTTCGTGCGCAGTCGTTCTCTGGCGCTGGGTATGCGTGAAGTGGCAGCTGGTCTTGGCCACTGGGAAACGATTCCATCCGTGCTTCTAGTCCTCTCTGATGGACCGTGAGCAGGTGAGGGGCATGGGTCTAATCCAGGCACACTTCTCAAGTTCTCTGTGCAAAGGAGAGCACCCCCACAGGGCTGCAGCTGCACCCCCCCCCTTTCAGGCAGGCTTAGAGGACTCTTAAGACACCCACTAAAAGGCCCCATTTCCCTCCTCTCCCGCCTCTGATCTGCTCGGCTTTCAGAATTTAGCACCTGCTCAAATATCTCCCACAGCACGGAAAGCAAAGCCGCGGCCTGGCCCAAGTGCTGCCAAGACAGGGCTGCGGGCATGGCTGGCATCCCGTGGGCGGGGGGCTGCCATGGGCAGGGGCAGCTCAGCCCCCCTCCCCACGGCTCCCTGGCCTGGCTCCACACTTGGTCTCTGCAGGGCGGCTCCGCAGCGCTCCGAGGGCTTCCGCTGCGTTTCCTGCGTCCGCATCTCTTGTGGTGTCCCGAGTCTCCAGAGGCCGCCCCGTCCCGGGCTGGGAACTTGAGACGAATGGAAAGGGTGCCCTGCGGGACCCCGGGAGCTCTGAAAGCACCACTGGCAGATCGCTGGCAAGTCTCGTGGCGGGACGGCTGCCCCTTCCTCGCCTCATGCTCAGCACGTTCCGCTTTGCCCTCCGATGCCTCCCCCAGGGTCACGCGAAGCGTACGTGTGCGCAGATAGGCCAGGCGTGGCGGCAAGAGGCAGCTGCCCCCCACCCCCCCCGCGTTGCTACCATCCGGAGCGTCGTGGAGCAGCCCCCCCATGGCTCCTCTGCTCTGCGGGGGCGGGGGCTCTGCGAAGGGGGACAGTGCCTGATGGGCCGGGACCCGGGGCTCGGCTGGCCCTCCTTCTGTGAGATGTGCATTTTTGACCTGCATTTTGTCGGGGTTCTGTCCCCCCTTTCCTCGAAGGAGCGAGGCTGACGACCCCCCCCCCCGCACCATTTTGCCCTCCCAAGAACCCCGCAGTAAACCAGCTCCCAGTCCAGGCTGGACAGAGGTGTCTCCTGCGGCTCGTCCGAGAGCTTGGCTTTCCGCCACTCGTGGGTTGATACACACCCGCTCTCCGGGGGCTGCATCCACTTGGGAGGGGGTGTCTGGAGCCCCCCCCAGCCCATCCTCTCTGCTCAGCTGCCCTCCCTTGGAGCAGGATGCGCCCGGGTGCGTCCCGCTGCTGCAGCACCGGCTCTGAGGCTGCGCCGGCCCCGGTGCTCCGGGGCTCCCGCCCGCCTGGCTTATGGATCTTCATTAGCTTTCCCAGCCACTCGCTCCGCCCTGCCTCGGGGGGGGGGGGGGGGACGCGGTGACCTACATTGCTGCACGCGAGGAAGCGGGCGAGGCGAGTGCCCCGGTGCGCACCAGCGCGTCCAGGCTCACGCTCCGCCACAGGCGCGCACAGCCCTGCCGGGGCCTTCGTGCCGGCCACACGTGGCGGGCCGCTCCGGGCTCCGGGAGGCCGGCCGTTTCGGCCTCGGGGCTCGTGGCTGCACAGGGCAGGCGCTGGCACGGGTGCCGCATGGCCCCGCTGGCGACGAAGAGGCAGCCGCGCCGGAGCTGTCCCTCCCCGCAGGGCTGGGCGCCCGAGGCGGCCCGGGCCTGTCTGAGGGCGGCCCCGGGCAGGGCACTGCCCTCGCAGGGCTGCCCCAGGGATCTTCCCTGAAGCCCCCCGGAGGTTTGGGATGAGGCCGGGCCGGGCAACCTTGTGGGGAGCCCGGCCAGGCCTGTGGCTCCCGGCTGCTGCCCTCTGCCCTGGCGCCCCTCCTCCCCTCCAACGTGCCTCACGGTTTTTACTGCCGCTTTGAAAAACACGCTTCTGCACTGCTGCTCTTGCTGCATTTTCTATCCTGCTCTTTTATTGCTGAATCTCATGCCCCCCCAGGGACCGTCACTCCTGAAAAAGCCTTCAGTGAGGCGAAGGGGTGGGGGCTGGCCCAGCGGCCCTCTTGGGGGGCAGAGGGGCCCCTCCAAGCATTGGCCGCATGACGGCCACCAGCCAGCCCGGCACGTTCTTGGCCCTGCTCCAAGCAAGCTGCTGCCCCAGGTCACCTTTAGTGCCCGGAGGCCCCCGCCCCGCGTGCCCCCGTGGCTCAGCCCCCATGTCCAGCCGCCGTCCTCCCGCTGCAGTGGCCAGTGGCCGGGCCGGGCCAGGGGCCCCGAGCCACAGAGGAGGGCCGCGTGCTTCCAGGCGGGCTGCTTTCCCTCGTTGGCAGGCCCCAGAGGCCCTTCTGCTCCGTTTTCTCCGCTCCCTGCGCAATGGCAGACTTGCTTTCAGAGGGTCTGGGTGGCCAGAGAGCTCTGGCAAGCCGAGTGCAAACGCCTTGGCCAGTGCCGGCCACCCGCCTTAGTCCAACGTTCCCCGAGCCAGCGGCTTGCTGGCGCTGCTTCCTGCCGCGTCCCAGGTCCCTCCTTTCCCACGCACCCCTCGCCAGCGCCGGGACTCCCAGCCCTGCTCCTCGCAGCTCGCAGCTCGCCGGACAGCCGTGCTGCTGGGCGGCCTGCCCTCCCGTGCTGGGACGAGCCGAGCGGGCTGCAAGGCAGGGGGAGGCATGCCCGGGGCCGCCCGGCAGAGCCCCCGGCTGCTGGTTTGCAGGCTTGAGTCGGGGCTGGGGCGCAGGGCTGGGCTCTTTGCACCGCACCGCGGCTGCCCCGGCAGGGCTGGAGTTAACGAGGACCTTGTCCGAAGCTGCTGGAGCAGAAAGGTTTTTGTGCAGGGAGACAAAAGGCCACACCAGCCACTCAGGGCCACGCTGGGAGGGCAGGCCCCTGTGCTCCCTCCGCTGGGGATGCCCGTCCTCCTGGGAGCCTCTCTGGAGACCCCATCCCCCCTCCCCAGCCCAGCTCAGCCCAGCCCCAGCCCTGCCCCACACAGCTGCTGCCTGGAGCATCTTGGGAGGGGCAACAAAAGCCCTTCCCCCCCCCCCAAGGTTTTGCCCCCGGGTGTCCTTTTCTCTGCCCTTCCTGGCTGCAAACCCCCCAGGCTTGGCTCTCTGGAAAGGAGGGGGGGTGAGGGGAAGACAGTTTGTTCCTGGGGGAAAAGCAGAATGCTGGAGGTGGACCCCCCCCCCCCAGCTCAGGGAAGCTCCCTACAGAGCAGGGCAGTGCGGCGAGTGGCCCCAGGACTCACTGCAAGGCCAGCCCCTGGACGGAGTTGGCCCGGATCCAGCCCCCAGGCTGCACTTCCTCACATTTGTGGCCACTCTCCTCATTAGAGTATGTTCTCCTTTGGCTTACTCTCCATCTCGCTCACCTTTTCCATGGAACAGGCCCCAGGTGGATCGCCAGGTGCTATAGCTGCACGCAAGTCACGAAAGCAGCCGTCGCAGAGATGCGTTGGGGCCCGGCAGCCTGACACACATGCTGCGGGCCCACAGTATAAAAACATTCAGGAAAGAATTCCCATACCAAAATGTTAAAACTACATTTAAATATAAAATTTGGAAAACATAAGCAAAATAAAACCCAACTGAACCTGAAAATATAAAAACGAATAAAGTCCCAGCTAAATGCCCTGCAGGAGAGGAAAGGACATGCATGTTCTGGCACTGAAAAGATACTCAGGTTGGTGCCAGGTGGGCCTCAGTGGGGAGCTCGATCCACAGCTGGGGGCCACCCCTGGAAGGCCCTTCTCCTTGTTGCCACCATCTGAGCCTCCGTGGGAGGTGGCAGTCTGAGAAGGGCCCAGGACTCGATGGCAGCGTCCAGGCAGAGGAGGTCTATCAGTTATGATGGTCCCTGGCCATGTCGGGCTTTGTAGGTTAAAAGCAGCCCCTGGATTGTGCTTGGAAGGGGACCGGCAGCCGGTGGCAGTGGGCCATCGCTGGTGCCGCATGGTCAGACCGCCTGGTCCCTGTTACTAAGCCTGGCAGCTGTGCTTCGCACCCGCTGTGGCTTCTGGACAGTCTCCGGGGGGGGGGGCAGCCCCATGCAGAGTGCACCGCAGCCAGCTGCCAGAGCGGAGGTGACTGATAGCTGCCTGTCTCTGTGCGGGTGGAGGCATCACTGAGCCGCCAAACAAAGCTGGTTAGAAGGCCCTCTGAGCCCCCGAAGCCAGCTGGGCCTCGGCGACAAAAGCGGCTCAAGGGGCACCCCCAAGCTACGACCCTGCTCCTTTGGGGGAGAGCGACCCCGTCTGGAACAGGCTGAAGATCCCCCGCCCGCCCGTCCGCCCGCCCGCCCGCGGCCCCTCGATCCTGTCTGGCTTGAGCCCCCTTCCAGCCCGTGCTGCAGCCAGGCGCCGGGTCACCCGGCCACAGCCTCGCCTGCGGAAGGGGGAGCGGAGGAGCGGAGCCGTGTGCCGCCAGGGTACTGGTGACGGCCCGCCCGATGCCCTGGGTGATCCCACGCGGCAGTTCCACGTAGATGACAGGCAGCCTGGGGGCCAGGCTGACCCCCGAGGAACCCCGAGGGGCAGAGCGGGATCCCCAAGCACCACGTCTGAGCCTACCGGGTAAGGAGGGACAGAGCCAGTGCAGTGGGGGGCCTCCCCCACCCGGCCTGGAAGGATGCCCTGGGCGAGGGTATCGGACCCCCCGGGGGGCTCCGGGGGTGCGGCAGGGGCTCCTGCAGGGGTCAGCCTGCAGCAGCCACCCTTTCGCAGGAGAGCCTCCCGGGAGCCCGCGCTGGCATGCGTCTCTGTGCGAGCTTCGTCAGCTGGGCTGGGAAAAGCTGGCCCAGACGCGCAGGCCCTCGCGCTTCACAGGCTCTGGGGAAGAAATTAACGCATTCTCAGGGCAAAGTCTGCTTCTTTGGCAGTGGAAACCGCGTGTTGCTACTCAGACCAGGATACTGGGGGGTACTGGGGGCTTTAACCCTTTGCCTCCCGCTGTGTGCACCTCTCCAGTAATGCAGTCTATTCCTCCAGAGTGACCCGGTTGCCATGTAAACTACCGACTTGTACTTTACATGCAGACTGGGGAGCAGCAACTGCAGTGAAGAGTCGGAGGCGATCCACGCTGGACCTCTGCGCTGACTGGGAGGCAAAGAAACGGGGGGGGGGGGGGAGTGCGCGGATCCTTAAGGAGGCGTCGCTTGGGCCCGCGCAGGGAGCGGGAGGATCGGCGCTGGCCAGGCCTGGCCCCGCCTTTTGCAAAGCAGAAAGTCAGCACGGAACGCGGCGGTGCCCTTCCCGAGGGGCGGGGAGGGGAGGTGCAGCGGATCGGGGCCGCTGGGCTGCTCTTTCCAAGGCGGGAACAGCGCAGGGGCCCGATCCCTGCCGCGTTGCTTCCCCGTGCGGGGCGCGCACAGCGGGGATCCGCTGTGCTCCGCTCGCCTCGGCGGCGCTGAGAATCCAACCCAAGACGCGCATCTGCCGAGGAGCCCCCTGCGCCCCCCGCCGCCCCCCGCCCTCCCCGCGGCGCCCCCCCCCCGCCGCTCCCCTCGAAGGCTCCGGGCACCCGCGCGGGCCGGACCAGGCGCTCCGGGGAAAGCGCTCCCGCTGGCGGGCGCCCGGGGCGAGGGCGGGCGCGGAGGGGCTGGGCCGGGGGCGGCTTGCCACGTGCGGGGGACCCTGCTAGCGCCCCCGGCCGGCCTTTGCGGGCCTCATGCGACAGACGGCTCGCCGGAGCGGGGCCGCCCGAGCCGAGGGGCCCCGGGCACTGGCCGCGCGGGGGCTTCTCCGCGATGGTTCTGAATGCTGAGGCGTTGCGCTTGGTTGTTTTCCGCGCCCAGCTCTGCCTGCCTCGTGGTTCTGACAAGGGCATTCGACCTGGATTGCGCCGGCACTTAATTTCCAGCAGAGGAAGGTGCGGGTTTGAATGCCCTCGATGGGCATCGCTCTCGCTGGAGCATAACCAGAGCGCCCTGGGCCCGGCGTGATTCAGCGCCGACACACGAGTGCGACATTTGAGGTGGCGTGGCAGTGCTTGTGGGGTTCACAATCCTGATTCCTCATTTGTCATTCTCGCCCACGGCCGTCATGCGTTCGCGCACATTGCAGAAAAATGACCGCTTTGATTGGGGCTAATTGTTGCTAATCTTGAAGGCCGACGGCTTCCAGTCACGGAGACAAACCAAATGGCAGCCTTCTCCAAGCGGGTGCCCTGCAGATGGCTTGGACTTCAACTCCCATTAGCCCCATTTCCGTCCGTGGCTGGAAATCCTGTGCGATGCAGGCCACTCCATCTGGAGAGCGTCAGGTTCCAGCAAGCGCTGGCCCGAGGCGGTCCAGGGCTCCGCGTGCTGAGCAGCTCCCTAGCGGAGCCGTTTCCAACTTCACACAAAGAAGAAACCGGACCCGGAGGGAGTCCTCCCCCTTTCCATGCATGTTCTGCAGGTTATCGTTGGTATGGGCGCCCTCAGCACGGTTAACAAAAGCCGGAACTCTTGAAAAGCCTCACCAAGCCTATTTAGCCAGAATAAGCTCTCGCTCTCGCTCGCTCTGTGTTTTAGGGATTTCTCTCAGCTTTTTCACAAAGGGTAAATACTCGAAGTATGAGAGGAACGGGAAGCGAGGGGGCAGGGGGAGGAAACAGAAACAGTCTAGAATGCGTTCTTGCACAGAGTAGATGTTTCCCAATATTTATTCATCAGCATTTCTTCAGGAGTCGTGCACCTTTCAAAATTTGGACATAAAATCAGGAGGCAGCCAGTGGGGGAGGACGGTGAAGCTTGTGGTGTTGTGTGGATCTTGCGGTGGCGTCTGGAACAGAGACACACGCTCAGAGATGAGTGGCCAGATGGGGAAGGGCTGCGGCATTCTCATGTCATGCTTGCTCCGTGAAAATAAAGTCACGATCTCTTTGCCTCAGTTTCCCATCTGCAGAGCAGGCATAGACTGGATGAAGGCCATGGAACTTGGTCGGAGCGATGCAGCTGGTAAAGCACGGTGCACATGAGGACTGTAGAAATGTTCAGCAACACGAACACGACGGATGTGTCGACTCAGGACGGAGGTCCGTTCGCGTGGCCTGTGGAAGGGGCACCCTTTTCGCTCCACCGGCCAGCCCGTGAAGGGCCCGGCCTGAGCGCAGATCGGGGCCCTTCAGTGGGATCCCTCGACGGCAAGGCAAGGGCCTCCTCAGGAAGCAGCGGAAGCATCTCCCGGCCTCCGCCCAGCCCTTCAGATGGAAGGATGCCATTTAAGCAAATTGGAATAGACAAGCAGCTGTCAAACTTTAATTTCCAGGCTAAGTAATGGCAGAGAATCCATCATTTAATTATTCCTGACCCTAGAAACAAAATTTATTAGTACTTTCAGGTTTGGCACAGTCGTACTTAATCGGGCGTGTAATGCACCAATTCAGTGGCTCATTAGCATAATCACAAGCTCTGTAGGCATCTCCGTTTCCTTGGCTGGCAGCTCTCACAAGACCCACAAAGAACTCGCCTAGGCCATCGCACCCTATTAGTCATTCCTCCATGGCTGGGAATCGATAGACAGGATATTTCCCCCTCTCCGTCTTGGTGAGGAGACATAAAAAACATCAATTGATCTTAATGAGGGACGTTAACATGCAGGCAGCTCAACCCCCTCCCCAAAGCATCTCGCTCGGCCATATTGCTGATGACGGTGAAGCGAAAGCCCACCTCAGCCCAGCCGGGGAAGGCGATTCCGTGCTACTGCTGCAGAGAAGGCTGGCATGAGGAGCCGTGCTGGGGGGCCCTTTCGGGGTGAAGCGTTTTAAAATAATCACGACCCAACGTACAGGGATGGACAGAAAGTTACGAAGCTGGAGCAGCTCCTGGGAACGCGGCTGAAATGCCCAGTGGACCAGCAGCTCCTCTGGAAGCCGCCAAGCAGTTGCACCCCATCGGCGCCTTCAGCCGCTAGAGCAGGGGTCTCAGACTCAACTTACCTGGGGGCCGCGGGAAGTAGAGCCTGGGTGAGGCTGGGCCGCATCAAGTATTCCAGCACCGCAGTGGCGGTGGCCGCTCATCCTGCGGCCGGCCCGGGCGCCGCCGGCGCTTTGAAGCTGCAGCCCCCCCCCCCGTGCCCTGCCCATCCCAGCCATTGGCCCGCGGGCCGCAAGTTTGAGACCCCTGCGCTAGAGTGAGGCAGCTCAGGGTGCCCTCCCTGCGGGTGCCCAGCGAGCAGCACCTCACGTTCTTCAGCCCTGACCTGATGCGGGAGTCCCGGGACCCCGTGGAGAGGGTTTCCTTGGTGCGTGTCACCCAGCAAGGGACAGACAGAGGCTCAGGAGCCCGGAAAGTCTGAGTGCGTCATGTGCTGCTTATGCAGAGGGCAACGTTAAACTCCTGGGAATGAAGGCTCCTTCCTCGATGGCCAAGCAGGCGCTCCCATCAGACGGCTGGGCTGTGGCAAGTTGGCCTAAGGCTAACAGAATTCCACTGGCTGGCTGGCACCCTGGCCTCCCCGGGAAAGAAGAAACCTTGCCCAAGCCGGGACATGTCCCGCGCAAGCTGAAATAAGCGGTGAGCTTAGAGCCGTGGAATCACAGCAGAGCAGCGCGAAAGGGCCAGAGGGCCTGTGCAGGGCTCCAGTTAAACCAGCGCTCTCAGATGGCTGCCCAGTTGCATTCGGAATGCTCTCGCAGGGGAAAGCCCACCCCTTCCCCGGACCGTTGGCTGCACTGTCACACGGCTCTAACAGTCGGGAAATCGTTCCCGATCCCTAGCTGGAATCTGGCTTCCTGTGACTTGAGCCCATCTGACGTGACCCGGCAGAGATCTGGCCCTCCTGTGTGACAGCCTTTCGAGTACGGGAAAAGTGCTATTAAATTGCCCCCCCCCATCTTCTCTTCTCGAGGCTGAACATGTCCAGCCCCTTCCATCTCTCCTTCCAGGGCTTTGTCTCCCGTCCCCGTTACCTTCCTCGAAGCCCTTTTCCGTTTGTCTGCATCTTTCTTACGCTGCGGGGCCAAGCTGGATGCAGGACGCCAGGTGAGGCCTGCCCGGTGCTGAGTATAGTGGAACCAGCATTTCATACGATTTGGGAGTGATGTCCTATTGATGCCGCCCAAAAGAGTGTTTGTGCGCCTTTGCAGCCACATCACACTGCTGATCAGTATTCAGCTTGTGATCTACCCTTCCAGGACCCTTCTCACCGGCAGCGTGACTGAGCCAAGCGCTCCCTATCTGGGAGCACTGCATTTGGTTTCTTTTTCCTGGGTGCAGAACTTGGCATCTGTCCCTATTGGATTCCATTCTGTTCTTCTCAGTCCAGCGCACCAACCTATCAAGGTCACCCCACATCTTGTTTCTGTCTTCCGGGGTCTTAGCTACCCCACCCAGTTCTGCGTCATCTGCACATTTGGTCATTGTGCCCCGCACTTCCTCCGCCACAGGATGAATGAGCCCCAGACTGAGCCCTGTGGGTCCCCCCTCGCTGCCTCCCCCCCCCAATCTGAGAAGGCGCCCCGAGGAGCTCTCTCCGAGTCCTGTTCTGCAGCCAGCCGTGGCTGCACCTGGTCGCTGCTCCACTGGCCCCCCTGGGGCTCGTTTGCTAATCAGGACATCCTGGGGCGCTTGGTCAAAAGCTTTGCTGAAGGCAAGAGAGATTATGTCCTCAGCAGGCCCACAGTCCAGTCTGCGATTCTCACTCACACCAAAGTGTGGGACAGGGAATAATCAGTTCAAGCTGCGACAGCCCAGATTCAGGCTGGACATCAGGGGAAGCTTCCTCACAGTCAGAGCAATACGGCAGCGGAGCCAGCTCCCTGGAGAGTGGGCGGCTCTCCCACACTGGAGACAGTCATGGAGAAACTGGACAGTCATCCAGTGGGATGGTGTGACTTGGTGTCCTGCAGCAGCAGGGGCTGGACCCGATGGCCTTCCTGGCCCCTCGCAACTCTCCTCTCCTGGGATTCTGGGCCCTAGCAATCCCCGTCCCTTCTCCTTCGCGGACTGGCTATGCCTTCCGGTTTCAGCACAGAAGTTGCCCACATGGCTGCTGTAGCCAGAGGAGGGGAGAACGCAGGCGCCGGGGCATGGAGGGTTGGGGCCCCGCTCCAGGGCCACAGGCCTGCCCACGGGCCGCCGCTTTGGCCCCCAGTCCCATCCCCCCGAGGGCAACTGGGAAGACTGCACGTCTCCAGCCCTGAGAGCTGCCACTGGTCAGCTGGCTGCGGTCTCTCGCCCCAGAAGGCACAGGCACCACAGCGCGTGCCGGGCAGCCCCCCCCGCGGCCCCCGCGCGCAGCGGAGGCCCCCCCCCCCAGTGGCTCAGGCTTCGGCAGGAGCAGCCCAGTGCGGGGCGGTCTGAGCACGCAGGGGAGAGCGGGCACCCTGCTTCACCCACGCGCCTGCAGCGCGCGATCCCGAGCGGCGCACCCCACGCCTGGCCCCAGTCTGACACCCGCTCGCGACGAGCCCCGCGCAAGGCCAGCGCAGCGCGGCGGCGCCCGGATGCCAGCGGCCGGGCTGCGGGACGGGGCGCCGCCTCCCGAGGGGCCCACAGAGGGCGCTCTTGAACTGCCGGCTGCGGCGGCCTGGCCCGGAGGGGGGAGGCCGGCCGCCCCCAAGGACCACCGTGGGGGGGGCCGCGGAGAGCGGCTGCTCGCGCCGGCGGCGTCCCCAAGGCCCCCCCGCGGCCCGGGTGCAGGCAGGAGGGGCGAGCCCAGCAGGGTGGCAGGGGGAGGCCCCGTGATACACGCGGCGGTGGTTCTGCAGGATGCCTTGCTCGCGTTGGTCCTCTGTGCACGTGCAGAGTGCTTTCCTGCCCTTACTGTGCACAGTCCTGCAGCAGCTCCGCCAAGGCCAAAGGTCTCTGCAGGCCAGCGGGTCCTTCCAGTGGCCGGCGCTGCCACGAAGCACCCCAGCGGAGCATGGCAGCAGCGCTCACATCAGACGTGCCGGGCGGGAGGGACTCGCGGCCCCGGCGAGGCGAGGCTCCCGTTCCCACTTCATGAGGCAGCGGGGAAGGGGTGGCTGGAGTGGCCTGGCCCGGCCCGGCCCTGGCGCGGCACCCCCACCGAGGGCTCTTTTTCCTCCCCCTCCCCTAAGACTAGACCCCGGGGGCTCGTCTGTGAAGCCGCCTGGCACACACAGGCAGACTGTGGCGGCCGGAAGTGGGGCTGGCCAGCAGTTGGAGGGTTTTGACAGGGGACTGGAGAGATCCGTGGAGGAGGCTGCGCCCAGCCTGCTGGGGGACCCTGTGGGCAGCTGGCTGGCCCCGTGTGGACAGGCGGGGTGGGCCACTGCTCTGATCCGGCATGGCTTTTCTTACATTCTCATGGCATCCATGCTAAGTAAATAAATAAATTTGGGAGGTGGCGTGAGGTGGTTGTCTTGCTGAAGGCACCGCACGGCCAGGGTGCATCGATCGAAAAGGATCGCAAAGCGTTCCCAGAGGCCCTCCGCCTGGGCAGCACGAGGCGGCCGTAAGCAAGGGCCACGCAGCCCGGGTTGAGCAAAGCCCCCAGCTCCGTGCACGAGCCGAAGGGGCCTGAGCTTGCACTGCTGCCGAGGGGAGCGAAATGCCGGCCCACAGCGCGGGTGCGGTGAACGCAGCGCTTCCTGGCTAGGCTTCATTAAGGAAGGAACGGGAAACGGGGCTGCCGAGGCCCTGCTGCCCCTTGCTAACCGTCCGTGGCCTTCCCGTCACCGTACCTGGGAAGGATATTGCGGAACAAGCGCTCAGAAGAGCAGCCCGAGCACTCCGTCGCGGGGGCCTCCTCGGGAGGAGAGCTTGCAGGGGCTGGGATGGCTTAGCTTGGAAAGACGGCAAGGCGAGATTCTGCACGGTCCGGATGGAGTGGAGGGGCGGCATTTCCCTCCCCCTGCGCCCCACGGGGCCCTCCCATGAAGCTGCCAGGGTCCCTGAAGGAAGGAATGCCTTTTCTGCGTGTACTGACCTGGACCTTAAGGTCACTCCCTGGGGTCCTTTTCAAGGAGCCCCCCCCCCCACTATGGAGAAGAAAGCAGAGTGACGAATAGAAGCAGGGCCTTCTCAGGTGTGGCTCCCCATCTTTGGAATAAGGACCCTAGAGAGGTTTGCCAGGCACCTGCTCTTTTTTCCTTTTGGTGCCAGGGAAAACCTTTTGATTTTCCAGGCATTTTAATAGTTAAAGTTGCAGTTTTAACAAGGCTTATTAAAGATCCCACTGCAGTACCAGCTTGGTTAGCTGTCTTGGGACTGCTTTTATTCATGCTGCTTATTGGCTGTTGTGACTGTTTCCCCTCCCCCTTTTATTATTTTTTTAAATCCAGAAAGAAACTTAAATACAAAAATCATAATAGTGTTACACACAAAAACCCAACTAATGAATAAAAAAGGAAATAATATAGTGCCCCCACCACCCGGGAGACCAATAATATCTCCATTTTAATTCTTATATTGTAACAATTAATAATATATAATATTCTTTAATTATATCCCTATCCCCTCCAAAAATTCGTATAATCTTGATTAGGCTTACAACCTTTACCCTCTATTAATACTGCTTTTACAACATCTTCCCAAATTTCATTATATTTATTTGCTTTTATTAACCCTTTTTAAATTTTTATTTCTGTTGTCAGTTTGTCATTAATTACCGTATTCCATATTTCATTGTGCCCTGTTTTTATTAGGATACCACTATTTTTGTCTCTGCTTATATGTTTGAACTTGGCAACCCACCCAGAGAGCCTTCCTGGCCAGGGGGCAGTATGCAAATGCAATTAGATAAATGCATAAATAATAAACCAACAGTGAGACTCCCTTCCGGGAGGTGCAGTGACGGCCCAGTGACGGCTTCAGGAGGACCAGGCACATCCCTGCCCCGCCTGGGGGCCCCGCTGGTGGCTGGTGGTCGGCCCCCTGCAAGCAGAGCATGAGCCAGGACGGGAAGCCCCCCTCCCTTGCTCTCGCTGCAGCCCTCCCGGAAAAGTGACACGCGCCTCCCCCAACCCCCCCCCCCGCTTCCCAGGTGTGTTGCACACGCATCCTGCAGGTGCACGTTAAAGAAGGTTGCGCATGGAGGCCCCTCCCCCATCCTCAGGAAGGCACACCTGCCCCCCCCCCCGCCATCCCACCCGCTCCAAGAAACATGAAGGGAGCAGGGAGGCCGGGGCAGGAGCCCGCGAGCGGTGGTGGCCCGGCCTCCCCTCCCCAAGCCAACGCTCCGGTGGAGGCGAGCCTGGGAGGCGAGGGCGCTTGGCAGTCCCCGCAGGGGGGCTTGCCGACTGCCCCCCCCCCGTTGCCTCGGCCTGTGTTGGGGCCCGCAGGCGAGCTGGCCCGAGGGAGCAGCCCCGGCTCGCCCGGCACGGCAGCCCCTGCCCCGTGCCGTCCACGGCCCAGCAGCTGCGGCTCCCGGGGAGGGGGCTCTCCAGCTTGCCCGGGCTGCCAGGGTCGGGCCAGACCTCCTGCCCGGAGCCGCCCCAGCTGGTGGCCCGCAGGAGCAAGCCGGCGCGGGGCCGGCCCGGCTGTCGGGAGGAGGCGTGGGGCTCGGCTGCGGCCCTTCCCCAGTGCCAGGCTGTGGGATTAGGCCCAGGGCCGCGGGGGATTTGGCTGAGATCTTGACAGGACCTGATGGATTACGCTTGCGGGCCGCCTGTAAGACGACCTGGAGGAGCCGCGCCAGGGGCTCATCTCAGGGAGCCGCCCCGATAAGCCCCCTGTCAGCGCCCAGCGCCTGGCATTCCCCCGCCGTGCCAGCGGCGTGGTCCAGCGCCTCGCGGAGCTTCCCGCCTGGGCCCGGGGCTGCCAGCCGTTTCCAGGCCCGGGGCAGGTCGCCCGGCCTCCTTCCGATCCCTTCCCTTTCCCTTTGGCATGGTCCCACTGGGGGGCTCCCTACGGGGTCAAGCCGGGGGGCATCGGGCAGCTGGCTCTGCGGAGCTCTCTCCTGCGCAAGCCTGAAGCGGTGGCCGGCGCTGCTCCGAGGAGCCGAGCCTGCTCAAGGGAAACCGCCCGGCAGGGCATCCTGCGGCAGGCGTGGCGAGCCAGGCGAGCCGCGTCTTCCGACAGCTTGCGGGGGCTCAGCTGCCATGCCTTGGAGCTGGGGGGGGGGGGCGATATTGGGCATAATGCTGGATGCTGCTCGCCCGAACGTGGCCGCGGGAGAGATCCCGGGAGCTCGGCCTGCAGCGCGTCGTCAGCAGCGCTCTTGCTGCTGCTGCGGGGCCGGGGCCGGGGCCAGTCCCCAGGCCAGGCCTTCCAAGGCCGGGGCGGGAGGGCCGCCCCCCCCGCCACACGCGCTCCCAGAGGAGGCTCCTGCCCGCCCTGGCCTGAGCCCCGCTGGCCTCCTGGGAACCGGCGTGCTGAGCCCTCCAGTCCTCGGGCTGCTGGGGGCAGCTGGCTGATGCCACCCCTCTTCTGGGCTGGCCACACGGAGGCTGCCCTCCCCACCAAGCACGCTGCCCCCCAGGCGAGCGAGGCGCCCCCAGAGGGGGAGGCTGCTGGGCCAAGGGGTCCAAGCAGGGCAGCAGCCCCCGGCCCGCTCTTCTGGGGTGCTGGAGCCCCTGCTCTGCCCGGCCCACCCTGCCTGCTTGGGGTTACCCCGCGGAGCCGGGAAGAGGCGAAACCTGCCCGGAGGGGCGCTGCACGGGCAAGGGCGCCTTGCACGCCTGCCTGTCTGAAGGGGGGGAGGCGGAGGTCCTCGTCTGGGCTGGCGGGGGCTTCCGGTTCCCCAGTCCCTCCGCGGCAAGAGTCGCCATTACCGCCGGCCTTGCAGGGCATTGCTGAGTGTCACTGGATCCGGCCAGCAGGCAGGTGGCAAGGAAGGCCCGGCTGTCCCCGAGGGAGAATGTGGCCACCGAGCAGAAATGGAGAGCCGGC